GAGAGAGAGAGAGAGAGAGAGAGAGCGAGAGAGAGAGAGAGAGAGAGAGAGAGAGTACGTAGACGTGCGCACCCGCCAGACCGACCTGTCATACCATGTATTTATACATTTAATGTTTAATTTATATCATTATTATATACAGTGTTATTTTATTTTTATTTATGTACTGCAAGTGTTGTGAACACTTTTATCACTCATAAAATGCTTTTGTTTTTGTCAAATGAAGGTCTCAATGGGTTATGCATTGCGAGTGCATTGGATGTCATTCACGTAATTAATATTGTGTTAGTTTTTTTGTGGTTTTAATTTTCAGTTAATTAATGTGGTGTCTGGAAAGACTTAAAAAATACAATGACTTTTTATATATATCAGATATTTATATACAGTATGCAGTTTTGAAAATTAAGTTTTGTTTTAGGTTTTTAATGAGATATAAATAATTAGTTAAATTAATGAGTTAAAATACACAATAATAATTTTTTTTTAAATTCTGTAAAAATTAGTATATAATTATTCATTGATAGCTAATTAATATTTTGGTGGCATTACCATTAACTTAACTGACTGGTATAACATATTTTGTCTTATTTTTAAATACGGTATAAAACTATTTCTAATTAAAAGTAATTATTAATTTTGTTGCATAATTAAATTCTGTAATGATCATACTTTTATTATAATAAATATTATACTGTAAGTTTTCCATAAGTTACTAAGGTAGTACTGTAGTTTTATTGTACAAATGAGTAACAATTATTGAATTGTAATTTACGGATATATATGGAAAACTATAATACAGTATATAAATGAGACTTTTTATAGTTTCCAAGAAAACGGTATTCACTGAAAGTCTACAAAGATTTTATAGACTTGTATATCATTTATATCACTTAAAATTGTACCATAAAAAGGATAGACTGCTAAATATACATTAGTTATAGTGTTTTAAATGTGACCTTGGCACTGAAACTTATAGTTGAATTCTAAAAATAACTATTATCACAATTAAAAATTTAACTTGTAAAAATGTAATTAAAAACATAAAGTTTGTAAAAATAATTAAAAATTTATTTAACACAATGACTATTATTCTAATAGTCATGACATGATATAAATAAATGACTCATGTTATAAATAAATGTAGTGTCCAATCAATAAGCAAGGTTTCGTTATTTATTATTAACAATGTAAGAACGGCAATTGTTATTCAGTTAATTAAATAAAATAAATTGGATTATACTCGTATGGTATGGTATAATAGGACTGTCCAGGTCCGGTAATCTAGCGGAATGTCCTTGGTGTCCAAATCGGTGATTATATCGGTCGACGCGCGATAAAAACTCTATACTTTTTGCTGTGAAATACACTCATTCATAGTATTGAAACTCTGACTCG